GGCAGAGTAGGGAGCAGTAGAAATCTGTCTCCCCACCTAGACAACAGTTGTACTGGCAGAATATTTTTGAAGTAACTATTTTGAAAGAGTGAAGTCTACTGAAGGTTTGCAACTTTCCAGATAAAGCCTCCTAAATTGAATGTGGTTAACTTTGGTCAGTTTTAGTTGTTAAAATAGTATTATGTACCCACCCCCTCCCCTCACTCCTTAGTCATGTGGCTGGCAGCATGTGCATGTTGGAGCAATTGCTGGAGCAATCTTTACACAGCTTGTGAGGGCCACGGTGGACAAAAGGATCCTGTTTTCTACATGTTGGACATCTGTGCTTTGATCACTGATTACTGCTTCTGATAATAGAGCTGATCAGTGAAATAGATGGTGGTAATTGACACACTTCCCTCCACTGTTGTTACTCCCCTAACCTTTAACTATTTTTCTCCTCTTTATTTATTTCTTTTCACGCTTTTGGAATCTAGCCATTAAAGTTTAGAACATTCAAAAATAACTAACTGTATATATGATGAAAATTTTAAAATGGCCATCCATGCCCAGGAAAGGATTCATAAAAGATTTGAGAAGTCTTTAATAAACTCCTTGTAAGAGAAACTCAAAAAGCACTGCATGGATATATATTATAATCAGATTTTTGAAAACTAAAGAGAAAGTGAAAATCCTAAAGCAGCAAGAGAAAAAATGACTTTTCACATATAAGGATCCTCAATAAAATTATTAGATTTCTCATCAGTAATTTTGTGGGTTAGAAGACAAAAAGGCAAAATATTCAAAATGCTGAAAGAAAAAAACTGTAAACCAATAATTCTATATTTGACAAAACAGTCCTTCAAAAGTTAGGTAGAGGAGGGTTTGGTGGCTCACGCCTGTAATTCCAGCATTTTGGGAGGTCAAGGCAAATGTATCACCTGAGGTCAGGAGTTTGGGGTTCACCATGTTGGCCAGGCTAGTCTCAATCTTTACTAAAAATAAAAAAATTAGCCAGGCATGGTGGTATGTAACTGTAATCACAGCTACTCACTAGGCTAAGGCAGTAAAATTGCTTGAACTCAGGAGGCAGAGGTTGCAGTGAGCCAAGTTTGCACCACTGCACTCCAACCTGGGCAAGAGAGTGAAACTCTGTCTCAAAAAAAAAAAAAAAAAAAAAAAAAAGTTAGGTCCTAATTAAGACATTTCCAAATAAACAAAAGCTAAGAAAACTACTTGCAAGAAATGCTCAAGGGAATCCTGTAGGGTGAAATGAAAGATGCTAGACATAACTGGATGTTGAATGAAGAAGTAAGAGTAAATTCATAGACAGCTGTTAAAGTTAACATTATTGTAACAATGATTTATAATGCACTTTTTGTTTTGTAATAATTTCTGATAATTGTTTTCTAAATAATTAAAGAGATGAATACATTAAAATTTTTCCAAAAGCTAGTATTATTATAACTTTATATTTTGTTTTCTATATAATTTAAAAGACTAATGCATTTCACAAAGTACTAGTTTTTTGGAGGCACACAACGTATAAAGATGTAATTTTATGCCTTCGACAACCAAAATGAGTGGGAACAGAGCTGTTAAAGGAGTAGAGTTTTTGTTTGTTATAAACTCAAATTAGAGTATTATGACTTTAGGCTGTTAATTTGCATGGTAATCACAAAGAAAATAGCTATAGAATATATACAAAAGAAAATTAGAAAACACGTTAAATAATTCACTATGAAAGATAAACTAAACACAAAAAGATGGTAATGTAAAAAATGAGACACAAAAGCTATAAGGAATAAGGAAAACAAATCACAAAATAGCAGAAGTAAATCCCTTCTTAGCAATTATTTTAATCATAAACTATAGTACTCTTAAAAAAGAGAGAAACCTGCAGAATGGATAAAAACACTTGATTCAACTGTGTCCTCTCTACTGAAGATTATCTTTAGTTTAAAAACACAAATATTAAATATGTTAAAACTGAAAGGATGGAAGAAAAGATTCTATGCAAATAGTAACCAAAAGAGAGTAAGGGTTGCTCTTTTAATATCAGATAAAATAGACTTTAAATTTAAAATTGTTAAAATCATAGAAGGACATTATATGTTAATAAAAGGTTCAATACAGCAAGAAGATATAATATATATATATATAAACAATAAGATACCTGATTACAGATTATCAAAATACCTAAAGCAAAAACTGACAGAATTGAAGGGAGAAACAGACAATTCTACAATAATAGTGAAGACATTAATAGCCATTCTCAATAATTAATAGAGCCACCATATAAAAGATAAGTAAGGAAATAGAGGACTTAACACAATAAACCTACTGGATCCAACAAACAGACACAGAACATACTATGCAATAACAAGAGTATACACATTCTTAAAAGCAAATGGGACATTTTCCAGGAATATATGTTTGGTCACAAATTAAGTTTCAATAGAAGGAACAACTTATATAACTTATATAACATAACAACTTATATAACATAAATTATCTTTTCTGATCACAAAAGTTAAAGTTGAAAATCAATAATAGAAGTCAAACCAGAAAATTCATAAATTTGTGTTAACTAAACAACACTTTAACAATCAAAGGATCGAAGAATAAATTATAATGGAAAGTTGTAAATAGAGATAAATAAAAATGAATATATAACACACCAACATGTATGAGATGCAGTGAAAGCAGTGGTAAGGGGGAAATTTAGTGTCATCAATGGTTATGTTAAAATATAAGAAAGATCTCAAATTCAACACGTTAACTACAACTTAATAAGCTAAAAAAGAAAGAACAAGCTAAACCAAAAGTGGAGAGGACATTGATGAAAACAAATTTGATTGTTTGAAAAACTGCACAAAATTGACAAATCTTTAGTTAGATGCATTAAGAGAAAAAATTGAAGATTCAATTTACCAAACTTACTTGATGGTATTGTAAATAAAATTGATTTTGTAATTACTTTTTCAGATTGTGCATGCTTAGTGTGTAGAAATATAATTGACTTTAGGTTGACTTAACGAGGGCACTGAATATCTTCTACAATGGAAACTACTAAATATTGCTGAAAGAAAGACATAAATAAATGTAATCACATCTCAGGTTTATGAATTGGAAAAAAATGATCTACACATTCAACGCAGTCCCCAGCAAAATCCCAATGATTTCTTTTTTCAGAAATAAAAAATGTCCACCTTAAAAGTTATGTAGAATCTCATGGTACTCTGAACATGCAAAACAACCTTGAAAAATAGTAATATTAGTTATCTCACATTTACTGTTTCAAAATTTAATTACAATGCTACTTTTGTAATTGAAACATTTTAGTATTGGCATAAAGACCAACATATTGACCTATGGAGCAGAATAAGGAGACCAGAAATAAACCCTAACATACATGATTTTTGAAAACAGTGTCAAGTCCATTCAATGGGGAAAGAATGGTTTGGTCTTATGAACACATGGTGCTGGAGAAACTGGATATCCACATGCAAGAGAATGGCCCAAATAATTGGACTCTTAACTAACACCATATACAACAATGAACTAAAAATGGACTCAAAAAACTGAACTTTAAAGCTCTTAGTAGAAAACAGGGCAAAAGGCTCATAACATAGAATTTGGCAGTTATTTCTTGAATATGGATATGACACCAAATGTACATGCAATGAAAAAAGACATTAGACTTCATAAAAACTAAAAAAATTTGTGCATCAAAAGATATTACCAGCAGTAAAAAGACAACTCAGAGAATAGAAGAAAATACTGTAAATTATATATCTGATAAGGGATTAATGTCTAGAATATATGCAAAATTCCTAAAACTAAACAATCCAATTCAAAAATGGACAAAAAAAATCAAAAAATATTTTCAAGAAAAGATATGCAAATATACAATATATACATGAAAAGATGCTCAGTAACACTAATAGGGAAATGCAAATCAAAACTACAGTAAGATATGACCTCACTGTACCTCACTGTAGTTTTGATTTGCATTTCTCACATGAATATGTGAGCTTTTATGCTTTCCTGTGATCAAATATCCTGCCTCACCATGCTATCTTCTCCTTTTCTAATTTACCACAAAACTCCGCAAATGATCCCTTTTATAAAGGGTCATTTTAAGTGTCTGAGTTCCCTTTTAACAATATCAGGGAAAAAAACAAAATTTTTTTTTTTTTTTGGGACGGAGTTTCGCTCTCGTTACCCAAGCTGGAGTGCAATGGCGCGATCTCGGCTCACTGCAACCTCCGCCTCCTGGGTTCAGGCAATTCTCCTGCCTCAGCCTCCTGCGTAGCTGGGATTACAGGCATGCGCCACCATGCCCAGCTAATGTTTTGTATTTTTAGTAGAGACGGGGTTTCACCGTGTTGACCAGGATGGTCTCTATCTCTTGACCTCGTGATCCACCCGCCTCGGCCTCCCAAAGTCCTGGGATTACAGGCTTGAGCCACCGCGCCCGGCCTAAAAACAAAATTTTAACCACTTCGTAGCAATGCATTAATGCCTAATATTGTCTGAAATGTGCTATCTCTTCAGTTCACTCAATTCAAAGCCACGTTTGGGGATTTCTGTAGCCAGATGCAGAGTCTGATACGACTCCAATAATGGAAACTGAAGCACCAAGACAACTCTTTGACAGTGATAATTTGGAGAAAGGATGTAGTTGCGCACTCTACACAGTATACCACAGGCATGCTTGTTAGCGTGCTTAACTTTTAACCTAACTCTGATAGATGATGATTTCTGACTGTGACTGATTATTTATTGGATGCTATATGTATATATCACAAAGAAGATACCATTTATAATTAATGGTCCATCTTAATTGGGATATAGCTTAAAATTCAGTAATCTGTAAGAGAGTAGAATGCGGGAATGTGAAGCAAAAACAAAAGGAAGTATTTTACCGACTTGATTAGATTATTTCAGTTAGAAGTGATACCTTTTTGTGTGGTTATTTGAACAGGCTGTTTGAAAGATCACTACTGCTATTGTACCTGCAATTGTCAATGTGATAGCTTTTCACTGCGTTGGATGGAATGAAAGATCTCCAGTTATTTATTTCTATAACTTCTATGCAGCCAGTAAAATTCTGGACTGGTATAGGGATCTAGGAGAGAGAGAAAGAGAGAAAGGTGTAGAGAGAATTTATATTATTTTCTTTTATATATTATTCCTGCTTCAAACTGGTCAAGGCATGCAATTGGATTTGGAGGATGATTTGATTTATTCAGCATATTGATAGTACAGTAATTCAACTCTTTTCATAAATATCAATTCTAAAAGTAATAGGATTTTTCTATATCTTGGCTATTATGAATAATGCTACAATGAACATGGGAAAATTATAAAGAAATTGTTTGTCTACACACACATGCACATGTAATAAAATGTTATTCAGCCTTAAAAAAGAAGTCCTGCCATTAGTCACAACCTAGATGAAACTGAAAGATATTATACTAAGTGAAATAAGTCAGACACAAACATATATAATTATCTCACTTATATGTGGACTCTGAAAAATTAAATACACAGAAATAGAGAGTAAAACTGTCATTACAAAGCCAAGGTCTGAGGCTGGGAGTGGGGAGAAAATGTGCAGATTTAGGTCAACAGATGCAAAGCATCCGATATTTAGAATAAACAAATCTACAGACCTAATGTATAACATAAGGCCTATAGTTAAAAATACTGCATTGTATTTGGGACTTTTTCTGAATGAATAGATTTTAGATGCTCTTGCCACACACGCATATGAAAAATGCGTAACTGTGTGTGATAATGGATGTTAATTTGCTTCACTATAGTTACCATTTTACTACCCATATGTATCTCATAACATGTGGCCCATACCTTAAATATACACAATAAAATTTATTTTAAACATTAGTAGGAAAAAATATCACCTTATATGTCAAAAGTTATGGCTGTATATCTTAGTACTGTATAAATTGCATAGTCACTAATACTTAAATAAAGAAAAAATTATATAATTACAGTAAATCATCAAGGAAAAATAGTAGAAAAGCTAATTCACTCATCGTCCCATCAAGACACTACATTTTCCTATTTCTCCACATCCTCTCCAGCATCTGTTGTCTCCAAATTTTTCAATGATCACCATTCTACCTGGCATGAGATGGTACCTCAATGTAGTTTTGATTTGCATTTCTCTGATGACCAGTGATGATGAGCATTTTGTCATATTTTGTTGGCCTGATATATGTCTTCTTTTGAAAAGTGTCTGTTCATACCCTTTGCCCACTT